ATGGCAATGGTGGAACCGATAACTGCAACAAGTCCAGAGGAGAGGTCATCCAGGAGGATAGTGACGGTGGAGTTCACGAGCACGTTGCCAAGCAGTAGTGTACACAGCAGGAAGTTGCCGTGGCGACGAACTGGCTCAATGGCACGAGCATATCGCCGCTCGTCCGGGGAGCCAGCGTTCGACACGATCTTCAACTCCGTCTTGTCGAGCGCCATGAGTCCCAGGGTGAGCCCAGAGAACACTCCAGACAGCAGAAGCAGCACTATCAGGAAAGTCACCTGCCCAGACATGCATTATACTCTTCAACATCACCTACTTACGTTACAGTAATAAACAATTCATCCTCATTACTCTGACCTATGCAAGAGTTTATCCCAAAACTGATGTACCATTTACACAATAGATCTACGACTAATTTCTCCTCTCAAACCTCGTAAACAGAGGTAGCCAAGTCATGGCTGAAAACCTCTTGTGACCCGTATGTTCATTCACTGCTCTCTACCGAGACAATATCCACATTATTTCATCTACATATTCGCTCACTGAGCAGCAGCGAATAAGCACATATGTAAATGAGAATACGAGTAGATGAGCACACGTGCACTACTTGGCTACCTACGTCTGCTATATATCTTATTGCCAGAAAGAAACATCTACACAATATCTTCTAAGAGTGTGTTGTATACGCCCTTCGATGGAATGTATAAGAAGTGTATATTTTAAGCTTTAGATACTGGTGAGTTAGAGGCGTGACTTGCTTTGTTTCACTGATCAGGTACCAGGGGTGTGTCTGATGTAAAAACATCGTAATCACCCGTGTCTCTAAAACCTTGAGATTGACCATGATGACAGCAATAATTCCAGCATTTGCCTTGTAATAGTACTGAGGAAACTAACTTATAGACAACACCAGAAGGAAGCTGTATGCCTATACTGTGAGTACATAATTATGATCTACATGGTGAGTACATGAGTACATGGCTAGTACATAATGAGTACATGTAACACCTGCAGTCACTGTGGCAGGATCAATCTACAGGAGGACACAGGTGCTTCCAACTGGAAAATACACCCCCTCAAGGAAGGTTCCTTGATGTTGGTGAAGGGCTCTTGATTTAAGGCATTGGATCTGTGCTCCAGTTCCCCGAATTAAGCCTGAATGCCTTCCACATCCCCCCCCAGGCGCTGTATAATCCTCCGGGTTTAGCGCTTCCCCCTTGATTATAATGATAATGGAAAATACACATTTGCTCGTAAGAAAATGTGTATTTTCCAACAAACTGCAGAAATAAGAATCTCACCGGAACGTGAAATGATAAAACTGAGCCATGGTAATGTGATGTACCCACGAGGCACGTGTGATGTACCCACGAGGCACGTGTGATGTACTCACAAGGAACGTGTGATGTACCCACGACGCACGTGTGATATACCCACAAGGCACGTCTGATATACCCACAAGGCACGTCTGATATACCCACAAGGCACGTGTGATATACCTACAAGGCACCTGTGATCTTCCCCCCCCCCTTACACACACACACCTTGAACTGTGTGGCTAAGTCGGTTCAGGTCTCGACCGTCAATAACGAAGACTTAGTTTGGCTCCCAGTACTCCTTGCAAATAAATAATTGCAGTGTTGGTAAGTTAACAAAACGTTAGCGTTTTAACACTGTTAAATGTTGATCACTGTTAACCTGGGCGGTGTTAACACGGAGGCAGCATAAACTTAACCTCAATTATTTTAATCTAACATATTAGGCTAATTGAATAATTTTAATCCAACATACCTAAGCTAACTTGAATGATTTTAATTTAACATACGTTCCGCAGATCTTAATTATTTTAATGTAACATACAACAGGCTAATCTATTTTAATCTAACTCAACCTAACAAAAACAATGAAATACGTGAACAAGAATATGATGTTAATGTAACTACAGCTGGGTAGAGATCAAGAATATGATGTTAATGTAACTACAGCTGGGTAGAGATCAAGAATATGATGTTAATGTAACTACAGCTGGGTAGAGATCAAGAATATGATGTTAATGTAACTACAGCTGGGTAGAGATCAAGAATATGATGTTAATGTAACTACAGCTGGGTAGAGATCAAGAATATGATGTTAATGTAACTACAGCTGGGTAGAGATCAAGAATATGATGATAATGTAACTACAGCTGGGTAGAGACGAGAGAGTAATATATGTGGTAAACGCATGTTCTGGTGAGGAGGGTGTAACCATGGAGACCAGTGACAGCAGCAGCAGTAAAGGAGACTACCAGATGTGAGCCAGGGGCACCATTTACCTGCAGCCAGAGTGGTAGTAGTGGACCGTAGGATGATATAGTGAGCCAGCGGTCGTTGCCCTGGTGGTAGGCCTGGTACTGGTCATCGTCAGCATCCCGCACACACAGGTACCAGCGCTCCTGGTCAGCGCTCATGGTAGGCAGTGCCACACTCACTGTGGCCCACCCATCACCCACTGCGCTCACCTGGCATGGGGTACATATCCATACACATCACAACACACCTACAATACAGTGTTACTAAAAACATTTAATCGTAAAAAAAACATATCAGAGGTGCAGTGTTCCACAGACATGTACATTAGCGTGGTACATGTCTGTGGTACACTAGCATGGTACATGTCTGTGGTACACTAGCGTGGTACATGTCTGTGGTACACTAGCGTGGTACATGTCTGTGGTACACTAGCGTGGTACATGTCTGTGGTACACTAGCGTGGTACATGTCTGTGGTACACTAGCGTGGTACATGTCTGTGGTACACTAGCGTGGTACATGTCTGTGGTACACTAGCGTGGTACATGTCTGTGGTACACTAGCGTGGTACATGTCTGTGGTACACTAGCGTGGTACATGTCTGTGGTACACTAGCGTGGTACATGTCTGTGGTACACTAGCGTGGTACATGTCTGGTACACTAGCGTGGTACATGTCTGTGGTACACTAGCGTGGTACATGTCTGTGGTACACTAGCGTGGTACATGTCTGTGGTACACTAGCGTGGTACATGTCTGTGGTACACTAGCGTGGTACATGTCTGTGGTACACTAGCGTGGTACATGTCTGTGGTACACTAGCGTGGTACATGTCTGTGGTACACTAGCGTGGTACATGTCTGTGGTACACTAGCGTGGTACATGTCTGTGGTACACTAGCGTGGTACATGTCTGTGGTACACTAGCGTGGTACATGTCTGTGGTACACTAGCGTGGTACATGTCTGTGGTACACTAGCGTGGTACATGTCTGTGGTACACTAGCGTGGTACATGTCTGTGGTACACTAGCGTGGTACATGTCTGTGGTACACTAGCGTGGTACATGTCTGTGGTACACTAGTCTGGTACATGTCTGCGGTACACTAGCCTGGTACATGTCTGTGGTACACTAGCCTGGTACATGTGTTTAGTACACAAGTGTGGTACATGTGTATGATACACTAGCGTGGTACATGTCTGTGGTACACTAGCCTGGTACATGTCTGTGGTACATTAGCCTGGTACATGTCTGTGGTACACTAGCCTGGTACATGTGTTTAGTACACAAGTGTGGTACATGTGTATGATACACTAGCGTGGTACATGTCTGTGGTACACTAGCGTGGTACATGTCTGTGGTACACTAGCGTGGTACATGTCTGTGGTACACTAGCCTGGTACATGTCTGTGGTACATTAGCCTGGTACATGTCTGTGGTACACTAGCCTGGTACATGTGTTTAGTACACAAGTGTGGTACATGTGTATGATACACTAGCGTGGTACATGTCTGTGGTACACTAGCCTGGTACATGTGTTTAGTACACAAGTGTGGTACATGTGTATGATACACTAGCGTGGTACATGTCTGTGGTACACTAGCCTGGTATATGTGTTTAGTACACAAGTGTGGTACATGTGTATGATACACTAGCGTGGTACATGTCTGTGGTACACTAGCCTGGTACATGTGTTTAGTACACAAGTGTGGTACATGTGTATGATTCACTAGCGTGGTACATGTCTGTGGTACACTAGCCTGGTACATGTGTTTAGTACACAAGTGTGGTACATGTGTATGATACACTAGCGTGGTACATTTCTGTGGTACACTAGCGTGGTACATGTGTTTAGTACACAAGTGTGGTACATGTGTATGGTACTCTAGCGTGGTACATTTCTGTGGTACACTAGCGTGGTACATGTGTTTGGTACACAAGTGTGGTACATGTCTGTGGTACACAAGTGTGGTACATGTGTATGGTACACTAGCGTGGTATATGTCTGTGGTACACAAGTGTGGTACATGTGTATGGAACACTAGCGTGGTACACTAGCGTGGTACACTAGCGTGGTACATGTGTTTAGTACACAAGTGTGGTACATGTGTATGGTACTCTAGCGTGGTATATTTCTGTGGTACGCTAGCGTGGTATGTGTGTGGTACCCTAGCGTGGTATATGTCTGTAGTACACAAGTGGTACATATGTATGGTATACTAACGTGGTACGTCTGTGGTACAGAAGTGTGGTACATGTGTATGGTACACTAGCGTGGTATATGTCTGTGGTACACAAGTGTGGTACATGTGTATGGAACACTAGCGCGGTACATGTCTGTGATACAGGTGTATGGTACACTAGCGTGGTACATGTCTGTGATACAGGTGTATGGTACGCTAGCGTGGTACATATGTTTGGTACACAAGTGTGGTACATGTGTATGGTACACTAGCGTGGTACATCTGTAGTACACTAGTGTAGTACATGTGTTTGGTAAACAAATGTGGTACTTGTGTGTGGTACACAAGTGTGGTATATGTCTGTGATACACTAGCGTGGGTGGTACATATGATACACTTGAGTGGTACATGTTCGTGGTACACTTGAGTGGTACATGTTTGTGATACACTTGCGTGGTACATGTTCGTGGTACACTTGAGTGATACACTTGAGTGGTACACTTTAGTAAAGTATATTTCATAAAGCATTTCGATCAGTAACTCCGGCAAGGTTTAAGAAAATACAGAAAAGTACTGTAATTGCAAGTGTATGAAGGTGAATAAGATGATCAATGTTAAACTTACCATCAGGGAGCTGAAATTTACATAATAATAATAATAATAATAATAATAATAATAATAATAATAATAAAGGGAAGTATTTTCAAGGGTTCAAACTCATTTCTGAAACAATCATTTTTTTAGAGATAAATGTATTTTAATTCATGGAGTGGTAAACCCGCATGGGTCATTCAGCATAAGGACTTGATGGTGTACACCACCACTAACAGGACACAAGACCTTTCAGCTCTAAAAACATAGTGTTGGAAAGGTTTTGTCAAGCTGTTATCAGAAGGAGGATCGATCCTTTAACAATGCTTGTGGTAAATGACTCAACTATGAATAGCACTCTATAAAAATAAATAAAAAAAAAGATTCTGCCCTGTTTGAACATATAAAAACCAGAAGCCACATCATCAACTGGGAGAGAGATAATATCACACACAAAGATGGACTCGTACAAGCGTAAGACTGTTGAAGCACACTTAAGCAAGTGCAAACTCAACTTTTAATATTTCAACAGGAACATGGGAACCAGATGGAATTTCAGATTTTGCTTTGGGGTAGCATAAATTTTAAATTAAACTGAAATGAGCACTCACGTGTACTCGTACATATACAGTATAATTACCATCACTTCGTGGCTACTCCACCGGGGTTCCTCCACCCACAAGTCTCTTAAGCTTCTTTCACACTGTACATACAGACGTTTATATATTTTTACTGTAAAGCTCTGTGTTATGCAAAGCATTTCTCAGACTTCTAATGAACTTTTTTCCTCTGCACGCACACGCTTAAACACACAAACACACATTAGGAGGAAGACAACAAAGGCCAGGTGATCAGGCTGCGGAAAGAAGGTGGGGAACTCACCAGAAACGATCAAGAGGTATGTGAGGAGCTAAACAAGAGATTTAAGAAAGTATTTACAGTGGAGACAGGAAGGCTTCTGGGTGGACAGAACAGAGGGGGACGCTAACAAGGAATACACCAACAAGTGTTAGATGACATACACACAACTGAGGGGGTGAAGAAGCTGCTAAGGAACTTTGATACCTCAAAGGCAATGGGACCAGACATCTCCCCGTGGGTCCTTAGAGAGGGAGCAGAAATGGTGTGTGTGCCACTAACCACAATCTTCAACACATCCCTTGAAACTGGGCAACTACCTGAGGTAGGGAAGACGGCAAATGTAGTACCCATATTTAAAAAAGGAGACAGAAAAGAGGCACTAAACTATAGACCAGTGTCACTGACGTGCATAGTATGCAAAGTAATGGAGAAGATTATCAGGAGAGTGGTGGAGCACCTGGAATGGAACAAGAGTATAAACGCCAACCAGCACGGATTTATGGAAGGCAAATCCTGTGTCACAAACCTACTGGAGTTTTATGACAGAGTAACAGAAGACACGAGAGAGAGGGGTGGGTTGATTGCATCTTCTTGGACTGCAAGAAGGCCTTCGACACAGTTCCTCACAGGAGATTGGTGCAGAAGCTAGAGGATCAGGTGCACATAACAGGAAGGGCGCTGCAATGGATCACAGAATACCTGACAGGGAGGAAACAACGAGTCATGGTACGTGATGAGGTATCACAGTGGGTACCTGTGACGAGCGTGATCCCACAGGGGTCGGTCCTAGGACCAGTGCTATTTCTGGAATATGTGAATGATATGATGGAAGGTTAGACTCAGAAGTGTCCCTGTTTGCAGATGATGTGAAGTTAATGAGGAGAATTAAATCAGATGAGGATCAGGTAGGACTTCAAAGAGACCTGGACAGGCTGGACACCTGGTCCAGCAACTGGCTTCTCAAATTTAACCCCGCCAAATGCAAAGTCATGAAGATCGGGGAAGGGCAAAGAAGACAGTAGACGGAGTATAGGCTAGGTGGCCAAAGACTGCAAACCTCGCTCAAGGAGAAATATCTTGGGGTGAGTATAACACCGAGCACGTCTCCGGAAGCACACATCAACCAGATAACTGCAGCAACATATGGGTGTCTAGCAAATCTGAGGATAGCGTTCCGATACCTTAGTAAGGAATCGTTCAAGACACTGTACACCGTGTACCTCAGGCCCATACTGGAGTATGCAGCACCTGTTTGGAACCCACACTTGATCAACCAGGTCAAGAAATTAGAGAAAGTGCAAAGGTTTGCGACAAGGTTAGTTCCAGAGCTCAGGGGAATGTCCTACGAAGAAAGGTTAAGGGAAATCGGCCTGACGACACTGGAGGACAGGAGGGTCAGGGGAGACATGATAACAACATACAAAATACTGCGTGGAATAGACAAGGTGGACAGAGACAGGATGTTCCAGAGAGGGGACAGAAACTAGGGGTCACAATTAGAAGTTGAAGACCCAGAGGAGTCAAAGGGATGTTAGGAAGTATTTCTTCAGTCAGAATAGTCAGGAAGCGGAATAGCC